TCACACTGGTGATTATACTAAACAAAAATTAACTAACTAATACAATTAAAACATAACGTGATGGCAATTTAGTAAATTCCAATTTTTATGAACTCTAATTTATCAGAATTTCCATATAGTTTATTACAAAATGAAAGAAACAAGCAAATACTCTTTGATTGAGATCATGAACCGATTGATGTTAGACCACCATTACAAACCTGAAAGCACTGGACGGCCGTTTCGTCCTATTGTGGGACTCCTCAGCAGTGCGCATCCACGATCCCGCTAGCGGGATTCCAACTCAGGGCAGTCAGTCTCGCGCGCGAACGCTTAACCTACTGGACCACTGAGTCGGCATCCAATGCTGTTAATGTCTAACCTCAACCAATCCACCAAGATGCGCGACCATCTTCTATTGTATTGAGGTGGACACCTGTTTCTACCCGAACAGATTAGCTCCGCTGGTCATGGCGTCTCACCAGAACTCCGAAAATTTTCTCACGAAGCTAGTCACTAGTGAGCATATGGTAATTATCAGCTGTTTTCTTTTCATTGCTTTGTTATTGAATAAGTTCATCATAAGATTATTTTAGTTGAATCAATCTGATTTCACTACCACATTAATTAAGAATTCATTTAAAAAGACTCCTGTGTAAGATAAATAATATACACTTGATGATAATAATAATAAAGACAGAAAGTCATTGTTAATTCACATTGGAACTAAACCCTGATAATAGTAACATATAGATAATAATAATAATAATAATAATAATAATAATAATAATGGTCGTACATAAATATGCTATTCATCAGTAAAACTGTAAATAATTTTTTTAGATAAACAGACCAAGACAAAAAATGATTTAAATGGATTAGCGAAAACAGAGAGTAGTGCTATGATTCCTTTCATTTTTTCTTTTAAACTGAATGCTAACCAGAAAAAAAAGGAGAAATGATTAGAAAGACCAAAAAAAGAATTAATCCTTTAAATTTCCCAAAAAAACACCGAAGCATCAGTTAATTTGCATATAAATAATTGATGTGACGAATATAAAAATAGAATATACATATAAACTAATTTCAACACTGATGAAAACTATTTTATTCGTAATAAGAGTAATAATATTTCTTAAAAATCGGTCATTATGTTGTAATAACTGATAATTATGACAGATATTCTCAAACGTTGTTAATTATACAGGAGATTGGAATAAGAAATTGAAAACGATTGAAGTATGAGTAAAAACGATAGCAACACTAGACAGTAATATTTCTTTATTGTCAAGTTGCCTTTGCTCCCAAATATCCTGGTACGGCCGAGAGTAAGGAGAGTCAGCTCTCCCGCTCGAAATGCCCTCATACGGCCACGTGTATACAGCCACTACCACGGAAGTCCTACTCGCTGCCTTCTCACACCATGGATATTGTTTTCAAAATTGAGAGGATCAAAATCGAATGTCCAGAGCTTCAACCGGGTTGGTTGATGGGTATGGAAGATCCACCTAGGGGAGTTGGAAAAACCTCACTTCAAACCAATGGTGCACATAGGCTCCAGTATCCTGATGGAACAATTGTTGGTCACCGGCAATCATGTGACTGTCTCTCCCGACGTTGCTCCACTGCATTGTGGACCAGATCTTTAGGTCGAAGACTCCATGTGTGGCCATCTACGAAAACTAGCTGCTTCGGTTTGGGTACCCGAACAGTATCACAGGCGATAGACAAATCAGGTGACTTGTGTGTCGCATATGTATTCGGTGCCTCCTTGTACCAATATTTGCGTGTTCAAATAAATATAAATAAGTTGTCTTTATGTATTTTATATTATATTACTTAATACAGTTCAGTAACTTGTAGCATTCTTCCTCATTTTTCAGTAGGAGAAATGTTACATGCAATATTTTAGCGTATTCGCATTCATCTGTTATGCTTGATACATTTATTACTGTTAGTGTATTATCTTTCTTTTGGCTTCACTGAAAATTTATTTATTTGCAACAATTTACATAAGCTGTGTGGATATATCTTGTCACGATTTGGTGAATTCCATTATTGAATACCACATAGAAACAAAAAGTTCAGCGAAGAGATCCCTTTTCAACGAATTTATTGCCAAGATGTTCAATCGAATATACATATATTGTGGTGTTTGAATGAACTAATTATACTTTTGTACTTGGTGAATGCTTGGTTTCGAATTCTAAATGCAATACATTCGTTTGTGCTTATCTAGTACTTCTTGATTCATTTGCGTTATTTCGGGAATTCTTAGTTCATACTACAATTCAAATTCGAAACATTATAATATATATCTGAAAATTTTGTTAAATTACCAGTTCTATGGGGATATATGAACAAGGAACAAACATGATGATGTAATAGAATACTACATAGTTACAGGCTATTCCATTGTTGATCACATTTGTAGGAAGTACTACTGATTTGGTTGTACCCTGGTGTGTGTAGACGTTTTAGATACCTCACAAACTGAGATTTGTAAAATTCGTTACTTGGGTTGTCGTTAATAGTACTGTTTTATAGGCAAATCATTTCTATTGATTTCGGATTTTAGGTGTAACTCAATCGTTTGATTTGAACCTTAGAAATGACTTAGCAATGAAATCCACGTTAGCTTAGAACTACTTAGTAGAACATAACCAATGGATACACACTTGGATTGAAAAGAACAATTAGATATCTAATCAAATATGCTCATTTAAATGCGCACGAAACTTAAACTATCAACATAGTTTCCATGCTAGAAAATTTGTGTAAATAAAATTAGGAATAAGTGGGAAAATAACTATATATATATATATATATATATATATATATATATATATATATATATATATACACTCAACCAACCCATTCAAACAATTAAAATACATCTTTAGACTATGAGGAAAAATTCCGCGATAAATTAATGGAAACTGTTATGACTTTATGTCCGGCTAGCTATCACATGATTTATCCACCAATCAAGATACGACTTACACAATCTTAGCACCGTGCCAAACCATTTACTTTCGACCGGTATGAGCAGCCTAGCGCTCTTATTGGTCCTATGTCCGCCTAGCTCGTCCACTTGAGTCCAGAACACCAATACCAGCTTCCGCTATGCGAATCATATATTTCAAACATACTGGGTTTATATATCAAGCAAACAAACAGGAACATTATGATACGCGATTTGTCCAGGAAGCTAACATAAGACCATTTACACAATTCATATATTGAAGTGCTGAACACATCAATGATCCCAAGTTACTTGCAATGGATCATTCGTGGTGCTCATATTTATCCTAGTATAATTCTTTGCTTACATAACCATATTAGTGACTAAATTTACCCGTCTTGGGTATTCTTTTTTGGCTAGTTTACGTATAATTAACAAAGCTATTGCTATGACTACTCTCCACTCGGTCACGATAATTTAGACTGTAGTCATTAGTTTTCCTTATCATTTTTAGGATGATGCTAAAAAAAATACTGATCATCATCACACAGCTAAATAAGTTTTGGTAACTCTGCAAGGATCAGAACTGTAATTACAAAATATACTCATTTTTATATTGGTTGTCTGACTCTTTTCATTGGTGTTTACGACTGCAATTGTCCAGTCTCTTATTAGCATATGTGAGTCCTGAACAGACAGTTTAGTATATGTACGATATTTCTCGAATCATGCGTATTGAAGATTTAATGCTAACGCTACTCACTGTAACTAACATTGTCACTTACAACTTTAGTAAACTTGGTGAGAAATATTCAAATTACTGAGGAAGCCAACTTCCAAACAGAGCGTTCTAGATACTATTCTCTGAAATAGTTTATAAACACACCTTTTTTCAAGGGTGCTGAAATTCTCACCACAAGCAACCAAAGGACATAAACTGACATATCCTAAATAAAGTTTATTTGGCGGTTTTTATTTCTCATTACTTGAGACAACAAAATAGCGGCGTTAATATAAGAGTAGGTCTTAACTGTTTATGAGTACAGGGAATGCATTTAGTTGATATCAGACTCACAAAACATTCTACGTAATGGTAACCAAGCATTTCGGAAAATATTTCGTGCATCACTACTCCAAACCTTTTCAACACTACTTACTACCCAAATACATTGAGGTAATAGAAGGGACTTGTTTCAACTTTATATCTTAAAGAGATAAAAACGAAGCTTCGAGAATGCATATGCAAAGAAAACTATTGGTGTCGATTCGTAATACCTTAAGAGGATTAACATTTGTAGATTTTTTGGGTTTCATGCTATCGATTTTTGTTTCATACGTTATGAGCTTGGCAGTTTTGGAATGGCTAATTCACAAAAACATATGAATCAACTCGTGTTCATGATATATAACTATTCAAATAAACATTGGGATCAATCAGCTGCGAATACCTATTAGACACCAAAACTGCCCGACAGTTCAACAGTAGTTATTCATACATATTAGTAACTAGTTGATCAAATACAGGTCTGTGCACTAGTTCTTAAGCGATGTTAACTAGTGTAGGAGTGAGTCAGATGAAAGCTAGGGATAGACAACTTAAAACGTGACATTACACCATGAAATCATTGATTGTTTAACCAACGTATGTTGGCAGGTTCAAATTACATGGTTAAAGTTTGAGAGATAAACTAGTGTTTGAAAACGTTAGGTAACATGATAATGCGGTGCAGATGCATTCATTCCTTATTTCATTCTGGACCTTGTATCCCAATATTACTCCATACATACCTTTTAATTCTTTTTTTCGAACAATATTTACTCTTTCTCGTTGTTATTGTCAATACCCATATTTATACTGCTTTACTACTATTCATCGTGTGGCGTTAATATAGTAAAACTTGGGCTAACGCACATCTATACCAAACTATACGTTCATTATGACCAACTAAGTGATTGAACTTTAGTATTTTAATCACTAAATCATCGCTGCACTAATCGTAAATAAATAACAAACAACTCCTTTCAGATACTAAATTACAACACAATTATCATTCATTTGTTATAAATAAGGTTTATTATTAGGATTATTTCAAAACTATTCAAACGTTTTTGTATATTTACAAATAAATGTTAACTGAAAGATATGATCACTTTTCTATTCTGTTGCCGCATGTCATATTCTAACAGTAATAGTGCGATGAATAACAAGTGTTTTTTCTTTGTAATGCATATTTATTACTTCATCAAAACTTGAATTCTTTATATTTTTTCGATGTGGATGGAACAGTTGGCTCGGGTGCATTACTTAAAACTGCACTACCCCCGCCAGATTTCACTCCACTAATTTGATCTTGCTGAGATTCAGTGCCTGCTATGCGCTTACGTAACATACGTTCACGAGGATCTTCAGCCTAGACAAAGAGTTTAGGTAAAGCGAAAAAAGTTGACATAATAAATAACATTGTAAACAATGTGTATTAATGAACAATCCTCTCTAAGTAAGCCTAAAAATAATGTGGTACACTCTCTTGGTAATTTTCAATCATTTTCAAAATAATATCGCGTTGAATGTTTTCCTTTATTTAGCTCATCTAAAAATGAAGTTTAATAATATGCAACTTGCTGAAAATCAATCTTAGTAATTGATTTCAATTATAGAATCAATAGAACAAATTAATACGTAGTAGTGATAATGAGAGTTCATGTTATCTAGTTTCTGATTAATAAATATTAAGTTGTTTTTTTTCGTAAAGACAACTATGATAAACTTCTAACTCATAATTTTGTACCGGCTTTGTTGTTATTTAATTGATTCTTGTCACCTTTAAATTGTTAATTTTGTTATCTGTTCCAAGGCCACTGAGTATTACCATATATACTGGGTAGTTCTACCTCCATTTAAAGTTCTTAAATATCGACCCGTTTCTGTGTACCTGTCTTACATAAAATTGGAGATACTATCGAAGTGTTATGTATCAGTTAACAGTCTATCGAGTTCACATTAGATTATGTATGTATTAGACAAAACCTAATTGTTCGTGGCTAGAAATTATCGTAGGGTGATCACAAAACTCAACAAGTAAACACATGTGTCTAGATATACATTTTGTCATTTGGTCTAGTCAAACCTTACTACTAATCACTACTATATTTTCAAGTAGACTTAGGTATGATTTAATTTACATAAAAGAAAAAATATGTGCTACATCGCGAAGCATAACAACATTATTAAATTTTGGAATGCGATGAGATTGAATGATAGATTAATTATACTAAATTAATGAACATTAACAAGTGAGATAGAAAAAGGACAGAAACTAGTGGGAAAATATTTGTACCTTTGGTACGTCTTAACTTTGAAAAGTAATTGGGATTATTATGTTCTCTGAAGAAAAGATGCAACATTCAGACAATGCTTAATGAGAGCAAGAACGAAGATTGATACAGAATATGAACTCATTTTATTACGTTAGGTTCTCATCAGCTGCTTACAACCTATAATATTTTCAAATAAACGTTTTATAGATATTGATATACTTATACATGTGAGGGTGATTAGAGGTGAATATCTGTATCATGATGTAGCGAATATTTCAATAGTTAATAAGGTCATAAAAATTTTGTTTCGGATAAAGTTTGGGAGGGAAAGTTCCAGAACATTGAATTAGTGATTAGAACTCATGGAGTTAACAGACATATTCGTTCTTATTCTCTTTAAGATAATAAAGGGAACTATGTGTATGGGATTTTATACAATGCATTTGGAAACCCAAGTTTCAAGTTTTGCCATCGCATAAATCATAGTTGGAATAGTTTTTTTAAAGCAGCACTTGAGATCTACAGTATTAACTAGAATATCAAGCATTCAAACATTAACTAGATTACCTGAAAAATATAACAAGTCTTCGAAAAATGATAAGTACTCGCATCATATATATATGACATGGAATGAAAGTTGGAATACTTTACTTATCAGGTCGACCTCAACCAGTAGACTGCTTGAAGTTATGGGCTTTGTGTGTCAAAAAAGTAATTTTGTTAAGATAGCCTACATTAATACGCCAAACATTAGTTGAAAACGGTTGCATTATTTACTGTCACAGACTTTGCATAGATTTCCTTTCACAGTTCCTTTTGAATAAACTTATCGCAAAATGTTACTTTTCCAAAAGAAGTTTATAGGAAAATGAGACTACACTTAAAGTAAGTGATTGTTTATCGTTTTAATGGGGATAAATAAGTTAAACTGAGAAAGCCAGAATTTAAGTATACTTTGAATCGGTTACATACATGAAACAGTATACTTACTTCGATTCCACGCTGAGCACCTGTTACACCGGCCACATCATACAATTTAGTACTACCCATAAGTGCATTAGGTTGTAAATTAGTTTCAGTTTCAGGAAGTATACGATACAACTGAGTGGACGGTGTAACCAAACCAGTACTATCTTCCATTGCCTCTTCTATAGTTTTCTTACGTAGTTCAATCATACTTTGTGGAGTTTCTAAACCAGCACCAACACTGGATACACCACTAGGTGTTATTAATCTGTAACCAAAAAATAGTATAGAAGCAAAAACAAAATTAATTTTTTAATAAAAGAAATTACGCGAAATAATATACACGAAAACCCATGAATTGTCGGAAACGTTCCTAAGAAATCAATAAACCTCAAAGCAATCAAGTTCGATTGAGGAAAAAACCTATAAAAAGTAGTTAACTTATGAGAAAATCCTTGAAAGTTGGCAATTTCCATTCACAATAAAAAAATCATAATAAAGGAGATATGAAATCACACCAATGTTTATTTGTCAAATTAAGAAATCTTTACCTTTTTATATTATGAACTCAATGTGAACCATTTTTATGCATAATGTTGTCAATCAAATGAATTATAATAAATGCTCAAAGGATAATATTCAAAGAATTTCACAAGAAAATATAAAAATAAACACGAAAATCAATAAAAACCAGGATTTTTCCCATCAACATAGTATTTTGTTAGGAGCGAGTTCGAATAACCTTCCCTAAACTTGAGGACAATCGTGACCATATCATCAAACAAAAATTATTTATTCTGCTAACATAATATAACCAATCAAGTAAATGACTCATTACAAAATGAGCTTTATTTCAAATAAATGAATGGATGGATCCTTGAAATGTTGAATAAAATACTGTGAAACTATATTAATCAGCTTTTCCTGATAACAAACAACTAATACAACTCTTTGACAAGATACAGGTTTATGTACTCTACATTTCAATCACACTATGTTTTACATGAGAGCTATTGACAACATTACCCGGCTCCCCAAGCCCACATATATGGAACCTGGCTCGAAGGTGTTACGAAGTTATTGGAACCCGACTGTTATAACTAATAAGCCACTGTTGAGTCAATTAATTGGAAGTCAAATTATCTAACTTCCAGACCAAGCTCCATAAACAAGTAAGTCAAAATAAGGAATAAGGCAAGACGGTTAAAATCAATTGCAGTTTGTGACTAAACTGAGCAGATATACAAAATTATAGAATTTAGACAGAAAAAATGGATGTATCCCATAGATAACAGAACATGCTGTCTTCGCCATTAGTAAAGGCGACAATAATTGGTCCATTTCAACCAATGAGTAAATATAAAACTAAAAGCTGCTTAACATTTACAATAAACGGTTATCTTTTAAACCGTTTGTTTCAATCAGTGAACATGATTCTTGTTAATTATTATTTCGGATTTAATACTAAGCGGGCACCTGATTTTTTTAAAATATTCTTTATTCAATTACACGAAAAGATATCGAAATATTTTAATTTTAGTTTAAGAGTATTTTTATCATCTCTAAGATCTCTTATCCTATGCCCTAGAATTATTTGCTATGTTGAAAGAAGAGATGAATATTTCCATGAAAACAGAGCACAGTATACTCATCAAACGAATGGTGGATATTCTAACTAATAATACGTTCATTCCTGACTACAACCAAACGAAATGAGCTTTATGGGCACTAGCGATTATATTCTCTGGCTAAAGACAACTTATGGAAGGATACAAATAACAGTAATGGGAAATAAGTGAGAGCTTACCCTCCAGCAGGTGTGACTAGGCCACCGACATCTACTGGTCGAGGAATAGATCCTGCACTTGGCAAAGTAACAAGCATCTTTTTGGCTTCATTTTCAGCCATCGCAGATGCTGCTGCCTGATCTTCATCACTCTCATCGTCCGTATCCATATCCTGATCACCATCTTCGCCTTCAGATTCCTCATCAGATTCCAACTCGCCCCAATAACTGATATTTCCATGAGCTGATTTCATAATAAAGAATATGTGACAATACGCAGTTAGTGTATATTTTACTAATGTTATACTAAAAAATCAAAGTCCTAAATATTTTTGAAGTGGTAGGAAAGAACTTTGATTTCATACTTTGCGATTGTTAGATAGCTTTGCTTTAAGTGGATATATTTACAGCAGTCTTAGCAATTTTTCGTTTTGGTTGTTTGCCTTTAACATTTTGAATCAGATGTCAACCTTTCTTTGGTGTTCAAAAAAAGAGAGAGGCATATAGATTGGTTACTTCTAGTCCGTTGTTCTAAAATAAACGCTAAGTATAACACTAAAACAATTACTATCTAATCTCATCTTTAATTCCTATTACCAATGACATAATCGGAAATTGTTATTCTAAACAGTATCAACTCGGAAAGTATATCTCTTGTAGCAAAAAAACTTATGATCAGTGGTTATCAGATTCAGTATACAGAAACAAATGAGCAAAAAACAAGCATCAAGATTATGATAACATCAACCATTTAATTAAAAATAAAAGAAATGTTCATAAACATTGCCTTGATTAGATAACGAGATTAATAAACTGGTAATACGTGCAAGCTAAATATACCAGCTAGAATACTTACTATTTACCAGCAAAGCTACAACAATCAATATCCACATTCACGTAGGCATTTAAATGCATCCTTTATATATGTGCCTGGTCCTAAGTTGTAGCTGACTGGCTCATCTGATATAGGACATGATATTAAACAGCTTTATTCCTAATCTAAAGAAGCAATCCATGTAACAATTTCGAATAAATCTAACATTTGGTTGTCAGTAAGACACACTGCTTTTAACAGTAGAATCACCAAACAAATAGTGAAATGTATTTTTAAAAATGTAAAAAACCTACCGATTTGCTCATCGGCATCCTCAAAAGTGGTTGGTGGGGGTGGTGGTGGTGGTACACCGGCAATATTACCTCCATTTCCAAACACATCTCCATAAACAGGACGTCCTAGCTCATCCACGGGAGGTTTACCCCATCCGCCAGGGTGATAACCAAATGCACAACCATCCGGAATAGGAGCATTTAGACCGGGAATCTTCAAATTGGGATACGAAGGAGGTGGACCATACCGTTGCATAGCAATCAACCATGGTGGAGGATATCGCTCAGCACCCTTAATTGAAATTTGCAGAAAGTGTATTTTATTTTCGATACTAGGAGAGTAGGAAAATAATCTGCTTTTAATGGCCCTGAATTATCTGACTCCACTTTAGTCGTGTGATTATCGTTACTGATATAGACATGTCACCTATCCTAGTATATCATCATCGACTTAAATAACGTTAGTGTATAAGGGAATTAAATAAGTCAAATGCGATAATGGATTTTGAATATGTATATTTCGTACAATCGTTAATCGGAAAGCGAAGCAAAACAAAATGACACGCATTGGAGAAGGCGGGTGGGTCAACTCGATCTAATTAAGTGTTAATCGATATTCCTAGTCAAACAAAAACTAATGAATTTAAATCGGAAATTCAGTGTATGGTGTGAACCACAATTAATGTAATCAGGGTTATCAGGCTGAAATTATGATGAAAAGAACGAATTAAGTGTATAAACCACCAAAAAACTAAAAATATAGTCTTAGGTTAATTTGATTCACACTTGTGACCTACTGCATTCAAATAATAACATGAGGCCTTAAATTATCTATGATGTCATCTTATAAAAGGCGAAAAAGTTTGTTGGTAAATACACGCATCAAAACTATACTATTTTATCAAAATCCTATCAAACTTTGATCACTACCAAAATAAAAACCATCAAGTTGTTTGTCTTAAAGATAAAACCAACATACTATTCTGAGTAATTATCTTTAAATCATTATCTAATCCCAAAAGAAACGCGATATGGTTAACAGTTTTCAAACAAATCAACACAAGTTCCCATATAATTTATATACGAATAAGACCACGAAACAGAGCTACACGATATCGCGTAAAAATTAGGAAAGAATGGTACTTGAGAATTGTACAGTATGTGACAAATAGGAGCAAAGTACATCATACAAGCGTCTCAGATCGTAAAAAGGAACCAGGAATCCGATGAAATTTTATTTCGTTTGAAAATGCTGACAAAGCTCCCTAATAAAAATAAAGTAGGTCTGAAAAGTTTGGCCCTAATAGGTTATAGATCCGTAGGGGATGTGATAAACTAACACATAAATAATCTACGACTACATAGTAAAAATTTAAAACTTACGGAGCCAGACGGTAAACCTAGAGCATTTCGAAGCTCATCTGACATATTACCAGGCTTTTTCTCCTTCAGTTTTACTTCAAATTCTTTCCCTTCATAATAAAGATCGCCATGAATTGATAGTTTGGGTTTGGTTTGGTACTTAAAGAAAGCATCGTGCAATTTGTGATAATCGATATCCACCTTTCCAACTTTAGGACGAATTTTTTCACGCATTTTTGTTTTCAATGTTTTGTCAGAATCCTGAAAATTAGTTTAAGAAACTATTATTATCATTATTATTGCACAGTCTTCACAATTTAAGGACTGCAAAACATCTTACTAATATGACTGTGATAATACCAATGACTTAACTAAACTTTGATATTGGAATACTACAGCTCCATTCTCTCTTAGCCCCAGCTACTCCAAAAGAAAAATCTATCAGGAAGATTTATCTGATATAGATCAAAGAAGACTAATTCACATTCGAATTCATCCCATTATACAGAGATTACATGCAGTAATTGTTGCTTAAAGAAACTATTACATTGGAAAATCGCCGCAGAATTAATACAATTGAATACCATGTTGAATAAAAGTAAAAGTAACGCGAAATAATATGGGGTCAATCAATACAATAAAAGTGTACTGGAAGTCCGAATCACATTAAATCAATACATAACCATACGCTTGATCTTTTCCGAATAATTGAATTTTGAAGATTTGATATCCCCAATACCCGCCCCCAATTAACAATGAACTACTCTAGGGTTTACCTGGAAGTATTCCATCTTCCGCCGATGTCAGTCGGACTATGCCCTCGCACATAAATCCAACTCAGGCATTTGATCTGCCTGGTTCTTTGTGGGTTGGCAGAACGAAGGTAATCAGAAAGAAGCATGAGAATGTTACTGTGGCTATGTGTGTCCGGGAAGCATTTGTCTTACGTAACCGATTATGTTTAGTCCACCTGTCTTTTCCTACGACTACTTCATACAACATCCTTCCATGGCTTTCTATTACATACCTTTCTATTCGTCGGCTATAGAGACCGGGAGTTGCGGACGAACATTGGCATATTAGGTCGGAATCCTAGGGGGATTGGCTGATATTTGAGGTAGTGTTGGCGCAGCATGGTGTGGTTTTTCAGCTCTCGACCGATCAAGGCTTTTACTAGTGATAACTTGTTTGGGCTGCATCATTAAGAGTGGGGTAATATATAAATGCGAAACTAGAATTCTGGAAGTACCCTCTTGAAGGTATTGACGAAACGTTGAACTTATTCATTCAACTGTGTATCATATGGCAGTGTTTTTAGCTGCCAGTTTATGACAAACTATTTGACTTTCTGAGTCGTAGTCGCTGAGTAGTGCTTGTTGAATATGCTTCACAGCCACCAGAAATGCTTAAATGGCACTGGACAAGTGAATTACTGCATAGGTTTTCGTAGAGAACGTAGCGATTGCCGGTTTTTCGGTTTCCATTAGCCACTCATCTATTCATGTACCAAAATCCAGTGAATTCAGAAAATCACACTTTTTAAGACGCTGCCGGGACATGTTTTCATCATAGGACTGTCAAGGTCTGTAGGTCATTCGGCAACAACTAGGATACTATAGAGTTACTCCTGGAATATTAGATAACGATGCACATCAGTTGAATGGCCTTGGATAACCAAATGGAAAGTGGTCCCTGGGATTTGTAGGCAGAAATTCATGAGTTGTGTCCGTTGGTAACAAGCTTTTCCAAAAGAAGCCGCCACAAGAGGGTGGTAATTAGGTTAGCCAAGACTAGTAGAAAATAATTATACTATTCAAGACCCATCGAGAAATCAGTAGATTCCTAATCAGCCGTATAGTTTCCTACAAAATAGGGGCTACTTATGCTGAATAGGTAACTGGTGTGATGATGTCCTGTTGATGTAATTGTAAAGTCTCATTGACTTTTATCAGGTATGGATAGAGAGTGGATCTTTAAAGTTGCGACAGGAAAAACGTTAAGGTAGTAGTAACGCCGCTTGAATACTTTAGCAATAACCTAGACCTGATTTCAAAACATCGTCGTACTATTTCAGCAGCTTCATTAAATCGTCCGTATACATAGCGGATTGAACGTCATTACGTACAGAACTAAGGGATATGTCAGCTAAATAAAGACTGTCAAACCAGTTGATATTGCTGTTAGTTGTAGGTCGGCTTCTTAAGATTCCAATGGTAATAATCGTCTTTACAACCAATGGTGTTTGAAAAGGTAGAACTTGGTAAAATGCCATATTCCACAACCCCGGCATGGAGAATGTAGAGTCGTTCGGAACGGAAACTTTTTTCAAACTTGAATTTCCTGAGAAAACAGACGCGACCGGTTTTGTTTTTCGATAAACTATATGTTCTTTAGTGCAGCTCTAAAAACCAAACTGAACAAGTGTGATATCACACTGCAAGTTCACAAATTGTTGATACTCATTTGTGACATTGCTCAATGTCAATTTTATTTCCTGATCCAGACGAATAAGTAGGTACATTCTAATATTATTAAATTTAGATGAATGTAAACTCCAAATGAGTATTAATAACTTGTTCTTTTGTTGCCGATTTAAGCTTAATTTTTTCGAACTTCGTATTCACAACTAAAACATGCATGGAGAAATCATCTGTTTCATATATTAACTTCAAGTAGTGTGAGTGCTAAACAGGGAAGTTATCGACATAACGTGACTTAAAGACTAACATGTTTCGTCAAATATTTTATGGTGTGATTTGCAAGGTATGATGTAGTGTCTAGTTCTACTGGACCAAGTCTACTGAACAATTAACTGATTTACCGATAGTCTTGCGCAAGTAAAATAAACTTCAAACAGGTCTTCACACAACCGAAACCATGTATCAACAGTTACATTTGTTTCAGGAGCATAAATACATTTAGCCATGCTGTAAGTAATTCCATCTTTTGAACGTGCAACACTCGAAACACGGACAGAGAATACTATAGATAGCAGCTTGAAGTTTGTAAAGTTTCATTGACCTAAGTTGTTGACTCAACAGTAACTCCACTTTAACAGAACCAAACAAAATAAAACTTGGGAAATATGTAGATGACGGTTACCAGGATAAAAGAGAAAATGTAACCAAATTTAAGGAAAAAACTTAATGAACTCACTTTGTCTTGTACCGTTTGTCGCATCTCCATAATCCCTGTGCGAGCAATGAAGTCGGGTAGGCGAAAAGGAGGTTTCTCGAAACCACGTTTACCCTGTAAATATTTTCTTTTTGCACACCAATGTTTGGGAACTGGTACAGTATTTCGATATGCCTTCAAGAAAGCTAATAAAAGTGGATCTTTGGCACAGACATCCCACATTTCGATGACATCGGGACGTGCTACCATCTGTTTAAGTGCAGCAACGCTAGGACGGTTGAGACGCTTTAGCTTTTTCTTGCTTAGTGTCTCGACCCCATTAGATCCTGAGTCTAAACCCCCTGCAGAACCAACTTTGGACTGTGAACCTTTATTCGATTCAGGATCTTGACTTGGGAAACGCCGCCTGGCTTCGTTTGCTGAAGCCTCTTCGGCAAGAAGTGCGGCAGTACGAGCCTTCAGATTGATGTCAGTATGTGATACTGGTTTAGAGGGAACAGAATCTGCCTCGTCATCAGCCAACTAGAAATAAAATAAATACAAATACTTCAGTATGGGATTTTTGCAAATTTTTAGTACGATAGGGTTAAGAAAGCCATGGGACTGCATCTCCTGACGTTCCTCCATTGTCTTGTGGATCATACCTTTGGGTCAGTCTCTGGGTGTGGCCTCCTAAGAAAACCATCTGCTTCAGTTTGGGCACCCAGGCAGTATCCCAGCCCTCAAATAAATTATTTGGTTTATGTGGTGCATACCTATTCGGTGTCGCCTTGTATCAATGTTTGTATTTAAATAAATAAAAGAAATAAAAGAAAGTAACTAAGTAAATAATTTATAAGTGTACAAAAATTGAAGGGATCATTAAGAACATGCATCTGCGTGAAGTCCTGAACAATGACTACAAGTTATAATATGATGCTGTAAATACTAAAATTTCTAAGATTTGGTAGCTAATAGATTGTAAGCAATCCACAGATTAAGGGGAATGTTCCAAAATAAGATGACGAAAACCCCTCAAAGCTGTTATAGTATAGAGGTAAGTCTGTTAAACTTTTTTCTCTTAAATATAATCTTGATCAGTCTGCCAAAGACAGTGAGACATGGAGCGAATGTGCATAACTCATGTTAGGAAAGTGAGAGGCAATTAATACAGGAACCAGAGGATGGGAAGTGTTAATGGGAAAATAGCGTCCAAAATATGGTCCAGAAGACAAGTAAAATCAAGGCGTCCAACCCTATCACTGTCCAATGTTATCACCTACTCTTTTTACACACGGGCCAGGAATGACACCAGGCACTCAGATTACAACATATAAGCATTTGAATACAAAATCATTAACCTTGGAAACACCACGAAACGACAGCAATTCAAAAACATAGGAATTCGACTTGATGCATTTCGAAGTAAAAACACTTCGAAGCCGAACACACAAAAAACAGCCATATCTACATTTCTGAACATTTTTCAGGTTCTTTTCGATTTCTGAGGTTATTGAATTTTGTGTTGGCATCAAGCAGTCGTGAAACCTGAATCACGAAGTACTACTTCAGAGGTTCGTAGTAACTAATGCATGAAAGACAAGGAATAGTAGTAATGCCATTTATATGTTGGATTAAACAAAAGACCCTTCTTCTCAAATGCCTCCCACAGTGAAATTTAAAGCATATGTGCGGAGAATAAGGCTAAAACAGTTTATGATAAAAAGCATTGACAGACATGAGATAGAAAGAATATAAAAACTTATCGCCGGTGAATAAAGTGTGAAACATGTTACTTGAGTCTAGAGATGACGAAAATGAACAAAATTACAGACAGTCCCTCAGTGAATAAAGACAAATCATCAAAACTAACAACCAATCGCACAGCGTGCAATTGATATCAAGCGTGTATGCTTATTTCAAGTCGTATGGTTTCTAAAACGTAAGTCAATTCTTAATGTCCTGAAGTAAACTATCAATAGACACAATGACCTATCACTAAACAACACGACGGACCACCAATCGTTCACTCACCTTAAAGCGTTCGAACGGTCCTTTATATTGAAACTCAATAATTTCATCCTCTGGTTCAGGGTCACTTTCCTCGTCTTCATGCACTCCATTAGGACAGTCTGAAACCTCATTTAACGAATGCGGTTGGTTTTTCAGCTCTCTACGCCGCTTCAGTGAAGCTTTCTTCCTTAATTTCTTTTTCCTGTTACGTTCTTGTTGTCTACTGAGTCCATAGGAGAAATTAATAGAGTCAAACGACGGTTCAGCTGAGCTCGTAAAAGTCAACGCCATAACACACAAAACACAAATATGGCGCTTTAAAACTCAGTTACGATAATCAATGATGTTGTGACAAGCTCGTATTTGTTTTTAGTCGCTTCTCGAAGAAAATGGCAGGATTTCAGATTGTTATCGTTCAGTGCAGGAAGCTTGGTCTCTCAATCGAACGAATTTTGGTAGATTTGACAATTAATTTAAGGGTAATAGACTACAGGAGACTACATTAGGGATGAAGAATACATTTTAAAAATCTCGGTAGTTGAATTTAAGGTAAATCCGGTGTTTCACTTGGATCAAGCTTTTTCTCAGAAAATATTTCAAAAAACTAGGCACCCAAACATAGAAACTGTTCGTTTAAATTTAGTTTCAGATTGAAAAGGTCAGGAGGTCATATAGCCTGTGTCAGTCCAGGCAGTGGTGATCACTTCTATTGGAAGTCTAGATATATGAAGCCTCAATCACATGTTGTGATAATGAATTCCACCATTTAATGATTCCATGGAAAAGTCCATAGTCAACCGACAAGTAATTTGTTCTAGGCTTGTGAAATTTTCCAGTGCCCTGGTTAACCCTCCTTTTTTGGAAGATGAGAAAATCAAAGGCAGATCATACTCAAATTTATCACTAAGTAAGTTGAAGCCGTGATCAAATCGCTTCTGGTTCATCTATATGGCAGTAAAAATGGTTTTAGTGTAGCCAGTCGAGCATCACATGGGAGCCTTTTTATCCCGGGAATCAGCTTAATTGCGGTTTTTTCAACCCTTTCCAACAGCTCACTGCTTCATTTTAAGCAGAAGCTAGCCACGTGTATGTTTTACTCGAGTTTAGGACGAACGAATACTGTATATAAAGTCAAAAGGGTTTTAGCATCGACATGGCTATGTATTGACCATAAGATTCTAAAACCTTTGGTGAATATCTCACGTCAGTTTGAAGTAGTTTTTAAGTATTGGCTAACAATTAATCCTAAGTCATTTTGTACCTGGACTACAGGTAGCTCAATGTTATTCACTATGTATGTATCTGTACCTTGGTGACCAATATGCATCATAGTGCACTTAGAAACACTTATTGGCGATTGCAAAATTTTAAACCATTCAGATGATTTTTCAGGTCGTTTTGATGATACAAACTACCACACTTATTTTTTACAGCTCTCCATATTTGTACATTGTCAGCACGTGACAAAAGCAATGACAATAGGAAACTAGGGAAGTCATTTACCTATAGGGGAAACAACAAAGGCCCCAAAACTGTACCCTGATGTGCTTTGTTAAGCACGATTTTTCATCTAGACAACATCGGGTTCACATGTACTCTTTGCTGACGCGCAGCTAGGAAGTCCTCCATATACATAAACAAACTGCCGCCAATCCCAATATTACTTAGTTTATATAACAACTGGTTGTGAGGATCTTTGTCAAAAGCTTTGCTGAAGTCAATATAAGCTAAATCCATAGGTAAATTTTGATCTTTAAGAGCACAGTATATTTCACGGACTACTGATGAGCTAATAAAACACAGATAACATGTTCTGAAGCTATGGTGCTTTTAAGAAACAATCCCCTGTTCGTCGAGATACTTAAACAACTTTCGAATAATCTCTTCTAAAACTTTAAGAGTCATACTGGTTAGACTCACCGGTCGATCTTTCTCGGGTTTGTGTATCGTAACTGCTTTGAAGATAGGCCTCAGTACATCATTCTTACAGTCTTTTGGTAATTGACCCTAGGTTATAAATAGGTATAAACATATGCTTAATGGATTTGTGAAAACGTTTGCTGATTCCTCCAGTAACCTAGAATGTATTTCATCGGGTTCCATGTACCTGCCTACATCAAGCTCATTTAACAGATCCGTTGTCTCTTAGTGGCATCAAATCCTAACCAGAATCCTCAAAGCTGAACATGAGATAACCGGGAAAACAGACATTCAACATGTAACACTAAGGGAATGTCAATAATGGTGGACGCACGAGCGTTCATTGGGGATTTAATCCATCGGGTGACATGGCTCATCCTTGCAGACGTGATCATCCTTATTCAACTTATCTCTTTTATTTATATTAAATATATTGTTCTATCTCCAGCCTAAATGTGTTTGCCATCATGTATTAGTAACGGTTACTATACGATGAGTCAGTGAAGACAATGATGTGACTTCCACGTAACATCTTATAGATTATGTAGTTACTTCATTACAAATCTACAATCTAAGGGTTAGGTTTACTATTAGACCAGTACCAATAACGAAAGAGACCATAATTCTACAATGGTATCATATGCTGTGTCTAGATTACGCTTGCTAATGCTTCTTTTAGCGGCATTCATCATTAAAATGACTTCGGACAGCAAGATTTTGAGTCCAAACAGCACTACTGATACAACTATATACAACTATTTTTACTTAGCCGTTTGTAAGTCGTGTGTTTGATTCGTATAAACTTCGTCGTACAATCCTTTGCATTCATCACACCGCATGCCACTTCTCATAGGGTATCTACAGTCTGGGTGTTGAGATTCACGACTTATTACTGTCCAAACATAAATCAGAGGTTTTTAAAAAGAGACTAGATACAAACAATACCTAGAGACGAAAGAAACTAGCGGCTAGAAAAAGTGAAAATCTGTGAGTTTTTAGAACCAAAAGTGCAAACAAATACAATAAATCAATGTACATAAAAGTACAGAGGATGAATTACTTTCGGTAAACGACACTCTTGGCGAGTGCTCTGACTAAAATAAATTTCATTATAGCAATAATAGTAGTTTTGATGCTTAATAAACAATAAAGTCAATTCGGTGAGGAAAAATGTCACTGTCTGCTTTCAGAAGCGCTCGTGGTAATCTGGACGAAAGTTCTATCATATGAGAGACTACGTTTGTTCTAGGGAAGTAATGATGTTACTGCAAGTATTTATCGCGTCGAAGAGCAAGATGGTAATTATTTTCAACATGAAACATTATGAAACTAGTGTGTGATGGAGCGAAAAGAGAGGACTGTCAAGATCAATCAATGAATGGATTACCCATCAGGTGTGAATAGACTTAAGTCTAGGAGTGTCAGGTAGGCTGTGACGAGGAGTGAAGTAAGAAGAAATGGATCGATAACAAATGTAATAATAATGGAAATAATTATGGTGGTTGTGGTAAGATAAGAGAAATGTATCATACAGCTGTTAGCGGCGAACAGTCATTACTCAGTTGTTGAACCTCTTCGTAAGTGTTTCGGCTGAGTGCTCTTTGGTTATGTCTGATAAAAGAGCATCTCATGCATTGTTGACTCCGAATAAAGGAGTGTGATTTTATTTGAGTGTAAACTTTTTGACGACAAATAGAATGTGGGTTACCTCGTAAAGCCCATTGTTAGGGTTCAGGTAGGGTATTTTAATTTAGTTGGATGGTCAAATTGAACACGAGGGAAAAACTGGGAAGTGTAAGAACTCTCTGTGTCAAGTTTAGTTTTTGTGCAACAAATCAAGGGAAGTTACAGAACTTCAGACGGATTTGGCTTCTGAATGTTTCTGGAACCATAATAAATATAGTAACGACGTAGGTAATTATTCAGTCAGAAATGAGACACAGGGCTTATCACGTGTCCCTGATCGGATAAAATGTTTTCAGACGTTTTTAAGGCCCTGCTTGACTTTGTCGAGGAAATCTTTGGATCTCCTTAACACAGGCCACCTCTTATTCTTCAGTGACTTGGCGACATCTAACCTAGGTAACATTTTCGTTCTCATAGGATTCGCCAAATTTGCGGCACGTCCTTGTACTTGCTTGAAGAAATTCGTGTCCGTTTCGTGATAAAGAAAGGCTATAATCTCGCGAGCTTCTTAATATGGATGAAGATAGGTTTTGAGAATTATTCATGACTGTTTTTGGCCAAAGTTAAGAGTATTGCGTGCTTTGGGAGTATCCCATTTGTAGTCGTTTAGCGTTTTCGAACATTTTTTGGTAAAAGACATAGATTATACTTCATCGGGGTTCTAAGTAGGCAGCGGCAGAAGAGGAGGTAGTGTGTTCAACAAATCTATGTTCAGCATTCTTGCCAAGGATTTGAAAAGCTCTCAATTCCTCCCTTTTTGACCACTAAGAAACGTTTCTGGATAGCTTTTATTTCCCGGGCATTTTTACTGCTTAGCAAATGTGCTTCCATCTTACCAGCAGTAAATGTTTCTTTGTTCTGTGGAATATCGTTTTATCAAAGTTATTTATGCTACTACCCTGATTAGAGGTGCCGAATTTAATATTGTTGACTCTGAGTCTAACATTGGAAATGTAAAGTTATTAACAAAAATTCTAGGAATCATGAGAAGCACGATAACCCACCTAGTAGTCAGAGAGTCTTACTGAAAGTATGGGTTACGATTAAATGTGAAACAACAGCGTTTATGCAGTAAGATATTCGTACAATTTTCAACTCCGTATCGAAAAGCTCTTGATCTCTTGTAGGAGAAATTCAGTGAGTCTGTAGAATTATGGTCTACTATGATATTAGTACTGCTCTAATAATAGACCTAATCCTAAATTTGTAGATTTGTCATGATATAACTGCCTAATCTATAAGATCTTACGTGGAAGTCACACCATCGACTACACCAACTCACTGTATCGTATCAATTACCAATACATGATGTAGAACAAGGTTAGGCTAGAGAAAGAACAATATATTTAATATGAATAGAAGATATAAAGTAACATTGAGATGGACCACGTCTGCATGGACGAGCCATGCCATCCGATCAAACCCAGTCCATTCAATTAATTCTCCGCGCCTTCTCCATTGTTAGGTATTTATCCGCGTTAAATATTGAATATCTATTTTCTGAGTAGTCTCGTGTTCAGCTTAGTGGATTGTGCGGTTATTGTTCAATGCCACTACACTACTCTCCCACTAGAATCAACGTGATGTTGGTTCGATACCAAATTGGATGGGATCGTCGTGCGCCGAAGGTTACCAAGACTAGTAAGGATCCTCCGTGTATTGATAAGCTGAAAGATAAATCAAAAAGACGGCAGCATCTGGTCGGGAAATACATGTAATAATCTTAAAACATCTGCTTTCATGCTTAACACACTTAAAATAAAAATTTGGGTGAGGACTATTTGGGCTATAAAAAATGGGATTACAATAATAATAATACGATGCGTGTTAATAGCTGTTGGTTAATAACTTAACGTATAGGTAGTAAGTATTTTGTGTTTAGAAATTATAAAGTAATGAATATTGTAGAAATGTTAATATTGGTATTAGTTTTGGTTTAAATTATGAAATCAAATAACGATTATGCCGGTAAGTTGTCCATATGAGTTGAATTCCAATTGCATCTGTATTAGTAGGTTAACTGAAGGAATAAA